TATTTTAATTTAATCCAATTTCTAACTCTTTTTCTTTCATTATCAACCTTCACGGACAATTCCAGAAAGTGGACGGAGGTCCACCTCCATGACTAGAATCCAAGGAGCATTACAATCGAATAATTTTTCAGGATTTTAATGTTCAATCCATTAGCACATAAATACAACAAAAAACGAATAAATCATACTATTCTGGCACTTTTTTCTTTGAAATATTATATTAAAAAAATATAAGACATTTTAAATTTTTTAAGCTGTAATTAATATGATTTTTGAACAGTATCTTTAATTAAGGGTTTAGTCTTTTTGGTCCTTAATAAAAGACAAAGTTTGAAAGGCTTTCTTGTCCTTAATACAAGACGAAATTAGAATAATTAATATTTTTTTAGTTTTATCCTTTATTTATTTATTGCCGTATGAATTCCTAAAATTATAGTCAAGGTTTACCATTTTTCAATAAGCATGAATTGAAGATAGTTAATTTCATCTTATATTAAAGACTGAAACAGTAATTAATAAGATTTTTGGAAAAATTAATCTTTTAATTTTTCAATTTTTAACTCACTTGTAACTCAGTTCCTCAACTATGACTCATTGCAACTCCGTCTCTCAACTATAACTCGCTGCGACTCAGTCTCTTAACTTTTGATTCACCTATAACTCGATCCTTATTTTTTATTTTTTTTCAAAAAAATTCTTATCAAATAAGAGGGATAAAAAAAATACTCATATATTATTTTAAAATACCCTCCTCTTGCTTATTGATATGTGATATAAGCTAACATGAAAAAAAATTAACAAAAGTTAAGGGACTAATTTGTAAGTGATTCAAAAGTTGAGGGACCGAGTCATAGTTAAGGGACTGAGTTATAAGTAAATTAAAAGTTGGAAGACTAAAAGATTAATTTTTTCAAGATTTTTTAATTGAGACAGCCAGTGATGGATCCAGAAAAATTAGTTTATGGGGGCAAAATTTGTACATAAGATAAATATAAATATAAATATTATCATTAAATTAATTATAATTTTTATTAAATTATATTAAATATAAAATTTATTAAAATTAAATTCTATTAAGGAACTATACATAAAATATAAAATTATAGTAACATAAAATTATATCTATTAGAATTCTACTTTTCATTTTAATTAATAAAACTTAAGTCTTTTGAGTTTTGATCAATAAAAGTGAGTTTAATGAATAAGAACTTAATTCATTATTTTGAAGATCTGTCTCATGCATCTAAACTTTTATATGCTAATAAGATTTAATTCTTTTGTATAATATACTTTTTTTTGTGACAAAATTTTTAATTTAAACATACAATCAGAGAAATTATTTTTAAAATTATTGCTCCTTTCTTTTTAAAACTCTTTCTATTTAAGTTTAAAACACATAAATAGGACCTTGGTCAAATAAATTTTTTAGGAAATTAGTGAAATTTTTTTATAGGACTACATAAATTTTCTTTTCTTTTTTGAGGGGGCAGGGGCAGCTGAAAATTTTAAATAGGGGCAAATAAAATACTTAGGGTCATTATGTTTTTTTTTTTTGGGCTTATGGGGGCAATTGCCCCCTCCATAATACAAGCATATCCGTCCCTGGAGACAGCCTACTAATACTTATTAGATGTTTAAATTAGTTAAATATTCATTAATTATTGCAGTTGTATGAAAATGGCTCTGAACTTTTGTCTGACGAAAGCGTTTTGATCAAAGCTAATGATCCCAAAAGAATCAGAACTGAAGAACTCTATGAGACTGAAACTAATATAAAAGAGTAGTGTGATGATGAAATGGAAGTCAAAATCATTATCGAAATCAACATATATAACATATTGAAAGTTATTTTGTTTATGATTAAGATTATAAATGGTGCAACTTTTATCTTGCATTTTATATGCATGCACAGGATTACCAACCATAAGATGTATTAGCTAACTAAAATAGTCATCAAATTACCAATTGTTCAGGCTGATGTAAGCGATTAGAACTCTCATCCTTTAACTAACGGATTAATACTCAAAATGGAATTAAAAAAAAAGTAATATTGCAAAAAAAATCTTTTACTATATTGATGGATAAAACTAACGAAAATAATATAATATACTATTAAATTTCATTCTTTATAAAATAGAAAACAAATGATCCTCCACGGATCACACACACACACACACACACACAATCTTAGTTCCGTATTGCTCATCAGTTCATAATAAATAAAGTGGTTCTCTCCTTTTTCTTTTGAAACTAGGGAATTAAAGTTAAAGTTGAAGAAGATGACGTCCTATTGAAAACAATGCTCCTGATTTTTCTAATTCTAGTAATTATTTTGTCTCTCTGGAGACAAATCCACAAGATTGTGATTCGCACGTGAAGAAGAAAAGATGGATATGCATATGACAATCCAAATCTCAATCATATATAAGATTCTAAAGATGTTTATTATCATCTGCGCATGCACGAGTGCAAGACACATTTTTCATGTCATCATCATTATCAACAAAGAAAATTAATCAAAGATATTAATTAATAATGATATCTATAGCTACATACATGAGACATATGAATGCAGTAATTCATGAAAATTAAACATTACAGTGTATTAATATTATTAATGTAGCTAATATATATGAACACCGATCGCACATGCAACGTACTGCTTTTTAAAAGTATCTAGATCATCATTAGCAGCAGAAATGAGAAAAACATGGAGCAAATTATATGGACATTGCCGGGATAAATCACTCCATCACTAATTCTTTTTCGTAGATTTTAAATTACTGAGTTTAATTATGTTTTAGCATGCATTAATGTTTGGCTTTTTTGAAGAAACTTTTTTTCTATGTGGACCTGAACTGTCCCTCCCAGCCATCTAGAACTTAATCTTCTAACCAAACAGATCACTTGAAGAAAGAAAAGAAAAAGGAAATTATTAGAGTGGTTAGATCATTATGCATTCGCATATTATATGTGGAAGTAATCATGGTGACCAAATGTGAACCAAAAAATTGAAAGGCTAGAAAAATTATGAGTACTGTAGTGGGTCTGGACCAGCCTATGTGGGTGCCTATTTCTAGCTATTATAGCTTATATAAAATCCCAATGAGAAATAAATATAGTGGATGACAGGAAGTCAGTTTCCAAATTAATTGATTGTTTGAAAACTTCGGAGCATCTTTTTGTTTCTTGTACAATATACCATGTGTTTCACAAGTCAAGCTGGTCCATATTCCACTCGAATTTGGAACAATGTATATCCTGTATATTTTTTTTTTCATTTATAATGTGACGTTACTGAGATCTTTAGAAGAGATAAAATATACATACATATAAAATATAGAAATAAGCATCAGATGTTGATACAAAATCTAACTGAATCTTGACTTTGTTTCCATTCGCATATTTGTAGATTAAAGACTTGGAGACAAATAAATGAAGGGAAGAATTGCAAACTTTTTTCAAATTTCAATGATAGTTAATTAAGTAGGAGTAACTCAATTCAAACCATATGGTGTGTGATCTTTAGTGATATTTGATACAATCTAAATATTTGGATGCATTATAGGAAAAGTCATTATGAAACAATAGTTAGCCTCGTCAAATATCTCAAAAATTCAATGAAGTTATTCGTTCAACAGATTTTAATTATGACTAAATTTCTAAAAAGCATCCCTAAAATTTTGTGGGAAAAGTTCAACTATATCGTATCTAGCATTTGAAATATAATCACACACGATAGCGGATCCTAACTTCACCACTAATCACACACCATATGGTAATACGATATTTGTTAGTTGATTTTGGAGTCAAGGTAATGAAATCAGTACGCGGCTAGGAATGACATTACCAAACCCATACAAGATATCTGACTGAATCAAGTTTTTTTTTTTTAACAAATTTAATTACTATTACTATTTTCAAAGAAAGAGGGCTTTCTGGTTAGGTTTGATGGAGTCAATTTTGGGGCATGAGAAGGGAACGTGCACGCAAAGAATATATATATATATTGTTCATTTTCATAATTAGTCATGAATTTGGTGAGAGATATGTGCCATATTTTTAAAAAGGATAAATTATCTTCTCACCTTGAGTAATTACAAATTTAATTTGTAGCACAATTACAAAATTCTCATCCAAATTTTTTGGGATAATAACAATTTTTAATCCCTTAAGTTTCTCTCAATTGTTGATTTAGTCCCTCAAATTTAATTTTTATCAATTTAATTTTTTAAGTTTACTTCAATTCTCAATTTGGTCCTTATTGTTTAAAAAGGAGGTTACATTATTAAAATTTTCTGATATAAATTAAAAAAAATATTGATAGCAACCGTGTAAATTAATAAAAATAAGTATAATTATTTATGTTAGAAAAAAGAGATTCAAATTTTTTTAAAAAAAATAATAGAATATGATATAGTGTAAGGGATTATATTGATAATATTAAGTTAATTTGATGGTTAGTTTATTCTCATTTAGCTACTTATACATGTCAAGTCATTAATATAATTTAACATATAATCTTATTTAGAGAGTCAATTAATGTTTTAAAATTTAAAGAACTCATGAAAATTAAAAAAAAAACATAAAGAACCAAATCAATAAAAGTAAAAAAATTTGAGAGAACAAATTGATAATTGAGATAACTGGAAAGACTAAAAGTTTCATTGTCATTTTTTTTTGGTGAATTCCATTGTCATTATTTTATATGTGGGCGTAAATTAGTTGCCAGGTTTTTTCTGTCTCTTAACATTACTTAGATAAATTTAGTGACAACGGAAATAAAGAAAATAATATATCTGGCTAGCTTCTTATATACACATTCTCATATATATATATATATATATATGTATGTATGTATGTATGTATGTATGTATGTGGGACTCTAGCTAGTCATAGCTAAAATTATGATTCCGGCTGACTTAGTTATCCCAGTCATGAAGATTAAAAAAATGATTAAAAAAAAACAAATTCACATTTGTTACAAATTGCAACTCAAGTCTTTAAGCAATTGCAATATTTACCATAAAGATGGCATAGACGTTATTGTTTACATTTAGCTTCAAATTAAAACCGTCCACTTATTTATACATAAATTGACCTAATTCTGGTGGTATGATCGAATACTAAAATACAAATTAAGATGAACAAGAAGAGAAAGGGGCGCGCGCGCGCAGCTTAATTATATTTATTGTTCAGTGAAAATGCCTTGCCCAGGTGACAAAATATGATTGGGATCATATCGAGCTTTTCTCTGTTGAAAAACCTTCCATTTGACTCCAAAGTGATCGGTCCAATCGTTCCTCGTCATGTTGTGCGGAAGATATTGCTTTATCTGAATACCAGCATCCTTACAGAACTGCAACACCATCTGGTTTCGTTTCTGGTATGCTTCCACTTTATCATACGTGCTCGTCTGCAGAAGACTCACAACGTAGAAAATTTCTTCGTCTGGAATCATAGCAGACATCTTATCATCCCACCTGCAAATAATATTTCATTCATCCATCAAGTCAACATATATATTTGATCTCATCAATCAAGCAAAGTGATAATTATACAGGATAACAAGGCAAATTTGCTCTCAAATTATAGTGTAAGTTAGACCTAAACTTATTTGTAATGCAATATTTCCATTTCACATTTTAAAAATGTATAACATTGTAATATTGCAATATTGCAAAATTGAAACATTGCACAAAAAAAAACATATGAGTTCAGGTCTAGATGCTCTGGGCAAATTTGCCATTTAAATCCTAATTATATATGTTATTTACTTGTTTCGACTCATGGGATAGAAGAGGACGACTCCTGCAGAAAGGTTTTGGTTGAGAAGAATGCCATTGAAGACGCCTTCACCGAAATCCAAGATTCGAGATTTTGGAACGAATATGTTGAGCCATGGATGAGGAAGATCCCAGAGTCCTTGAGGCCTAAGAACAAGCTCATCACTGCGAACCCGGTCCAGAAACTCTTCGTATGACACATCCTTCTCGAACACAAACGTAGGCACAAACTTTAACCGACTTATCAGCTCCTCCACTTCCTGTTTCCAGTTCAAGAACACAAGTCAAGTCCCAGCACAGAGATTTCTCAACATCATTAATTATCTAACGTGCGTACGTACCTTGTCGACGGTTGTCTGAGAATCGTTGGTGTAATACTTGGCAAGCTCTAAGATGTAGACGATGCCGTTTTGGTTGATGAGGGAAGTGATTCTTGGACGATCAGTCTGTGGATAGAAGGAAAGATCCAAGGATGATTCATTGTGCAGAAGCGATCCTTCTAAGTAATTAGGGATGTTGGTTTGCACGCTTTCGTTCATCGAGATTAGTCTTTCTTGATCTGAAGTTAGTACAGAGAAGTCATTGTAAAGCAATCGCAGCCACTTCACCTGCAATCAATCAAACAAATAATTTACTATATTATTATATGTTTGCATCTATTATATAACAAGATACACACACACACACACACGCACACATATATCTATATATCTACACATATCTACTTGCCCTGGATGGTGCCGACCCTAGAGCAATTCTGGCTCTGGTAATGATCCCAAATTGGCCTAAACCTCCAAGAACAGCGTAGAAAAGGTCCGAGTTAATTTCAGGAGAACATGTCACTTCTTCTCCTTTCCCTGCAAATAATCCCGCGCAAGTATACTGTTAAATTCTTGTATTTTAAGTTTCATCACTTTGAATTGTAACGTGGGTTTTGATTAAAAAAGATTATATATATAAGTATTAAAATGCTAATCAAACCAGTATTAAACAAGGACTACCAATCACGTCGAATAAAAAAAGAATACAAAAGAATATCTGTCTCAATAATTATAATGTGCTATAAGGTAATGGACCGCACAAATAAAAATGAATTGACTGACCTTCATGCAAGTAACTAAGATATTGAAAACCAGACTCATCATTAACCAGTCAGGTATACACTAATTTAAGGGTTAATAATCATAACTGAATCTTGATTAAACTAATTAAGATAGAAAAGCTGTTCATTAAAGCAGTCAACATACTGGTTCAATAATTTACCCGCTCAATCAGCTGAATTGCTCCAGGTTTCAGTAATATGTTGCCACACAAACAAATGGCAAGGTAATCCTCAAACCAGGAGAAGAGTTGACTTTAGGTTTTGATTAATAAATAATTAGTCCATCTTTTTTTCATTAATAAACAATATTCTTCATAATACTAAATTATCTCAGAATATTGTTGACATCTGTTAAGAGAGATTGGTCAATAGGATTATTATCAAGGGAATTAAAGCACACTTCCTCTTCGTGTATTGAATATATAGTGCCAAACGCCAAGTGTGACATTTGATGATGTGGCTGATTTTTTAGGCAGAACCAATGAATATATTTGCTGTCGCAATCTAGTGATGATGTGTCTCCATTCAGTCATTTACATGTAATCTGGATCAATATCCGGTGAAGTCACGTGACAGTTACATGTATATGTGTTTTATTTATTTTGGGTCTTTGTTATGCTTCTTTTATGATATTTTTTTCAAACCGACCAAACACATCGAAACAATAGGATAACAATAATTGGAATGAACAAAAACCACAGTTCAACACTTTTGTTTTGGTCGTATGGTCTCAGCCAAATATATAGCCAAAAAAACTGATTGATTGATCTGATTTTGTCAAAAAAAAATTCATTACATAATTTTATTAAACTAAATATTCAAGAAAATTTTAACAAGGATGTGTTTTATTAACGTGCATCATTTTTAATTTTAAGAAAAATTCAATAAAGTAAAAGATATTTAATATTTTCATACAATTTCAAAGGTAGAAGAAACTTAAAGTTATGATTTTATATCATATTAAAATATGAGAGGGAAATTAAGGGTGATATATACTTAAAAGAAAATAAAAGAAAACACACACAAATAGATGAATTTTTATATAAAAAAGAAAAATTAGTAATTAATTGTAATGTTTTATATGAAAATAAAAATAGTGATGATTTATAAATTAAGGAAAAGGGTTAAAAAATATAACGAAAAGAAAGTAGTTTAACATACCTTTCACAATAATTTTATCATATCCTTTTTTTCACAATATATATTATTAACATTATTTGATTACAAAGTTATGAAATTTGAATCCATTTTGTATAGAAGACTGAACACTTGGTCAAAAAATTAGAACAAATATTATTTTAGTGAAATACATAAACTTCCAAATGTCACAGCCTATCGCTGGTAAAAAATAAAATAAAAAAAATGTCACAGGCTTTCCAGGTGATCAAATATGACCGGCTAATTAATTTGTTGCCTGTCCCCTCTAGAAATAACGGCTTATTTCTGTTGTCATGTATTTACATATTTAAAATAGGGTTAATGAGTATTACAAATTTTAAACTATTACTTAAATAACATTCTAGACTCTAAATTTTTAAAATAAATATCATGAATCCTAAACTAGAATTTTTATTCATTTTAAAAGTTTAAAGTTCATGATATTTTTTAAATAATAGTTTATGATTCAGGTGCTTATTAACCCTTTAAAATATGCTACAAACATATGGTGTGACTAATAAAGTTTAATTACGTAATCAAATAATTAAAATTAATAGATGGTGAACGGAATTCTATTGCATGCAACTAAATCCAATGACATATATCCTTATTGATTATGACAAATTCTCTCCTTGACCTTTAAACAAATTAACTTATAAAAAGTTTTGTGTTCTTTAGCTGTCTTTTTTCAGTATTGCCGTTTCGTATCCTTGAAAATGCCTTCCTTATTTTAAAAGTCTTCAAAATTTAATAACCTTTTATCCTATTTATAAATTATTTTTTACATATTTCATCACAAAAAAATTTTAAAACTTATTAACTATCTCTATAAATTATTTTTTACATATTTCATCACAAAAAAAATCTTAAAATTTATTAACTATCTTTAAAATTTAATACGTTTTTAATTTTACCGCTATTAGATTGTACATATTTTAATAATATATTTTCTCTCGTTAACATTTAATAAAAGAAAAAGTAAAACTTGTGTTAAAAAATCAGCTTTATGAATGAGATTGAAAAAATCTTTTTCTATATAAATAGGGCCAAAAGGAATATAGTCTTTGATGACTTTGAAATTTTAAAAGCATTATTGACTAGTCTGAACTGCATTCTTTAATCTATGTAGACTGTAGAGTTGTTAATACATTAGACAAACATATACCATAGATAGCATATGGGGGGAAAACATACTTTCTTCAAACGTAAACGAAAAATTTGAGATTCATTTGAGGGGGGGGGGGAACGAAGTGAACAGTGATTCATACCTGTAACAACATCGAGCTCGTAAACATTTTGAATCTGAGGACCAAACCTGAAGGTTTGGCCACTAATCCCAGCATTAGACAGTGTACCACCGACAGTCAAATACAAGTAATCCGTCCAAGAACGAGGTGAGAGCCCACGTTTGAGCGTGTCACGCAGAACATCGATCCACCTCTGCCCACCACCAACGTCCACGTAATCGCCGATCGCCGCCGTACTCTCCGACGTCACAAGCACCCCACCGCCATTATTAACGTCTCTGAAATTGCTCATGTTCACCACAACCCCACCATCTGTCATGGCTTGCCCGCTCACCGAGTGAGCCTCCCCTCTCGCCGCCACTTTGAACGGAACGGTCAACGAGTTTGAGAATTTTATGAGCACCGATATGTCACTCGTGGCCACCGGGTTCATGATCGCCACGGGGCTCTTGTGAACCATGTGGCCGTAATCTGCGGAGCCCTCTGACAGAGACACGGGGTCACGACTCAGCCTTATGGTTACCTCTGTTGGTCCTTGGAACACCGACAGTAGTGTCTCATCTTGTCCCTCGGAGACTACTAGGATGCTGGTCAGCCATAGCACCACCAAGAAAGGCTTCCCCATATATATATATATTTGATTCGCAGACTAGTTTTTATTTTTGGTTGATCTGTTTGAAGAGAGTTAATGGGGCGAAGTGTGTGTGGTATTCTGTTGTGTATATATAGGAATTAGGAAGAGCTGGAGCGGACTGGGGGAGTGAAACGACGTCGTCTAGTGGGAAGGCTTTTTGTGGGTTTGATTTGTTGTGAACAAATGATTTACGGTAAATAGGTTTGAATTGACTGGTAAAGTGATTAATCTTTCTTAATCAAAGATCACGAATCCAAACATTAAAAATACAACAGCAATTAAGTTATTGATAGGAGGCATGTGCTTTGAAAAAAGTGTCCACAACCGATAATTGGATTAGTCTAAATCAAATCTAGCTAATACTTGAAATCTTGAAGCTTACAAGCAAAACAAAAATAAAACTTACGATTCACGCCTTGCACTGTGAATGAATGTTCCTTTTTCAGATGCACGCATATATTGAAATAAAACCAAGATTTGCTTGTTCCTTTTTCTGGTAAATAAAAGTGGGAAATGGCCATATCTTTCTTGATGATCATTCTAAAATTACTTACTCAATGGACGGGAAAAAAAGGAAATAAAGAATTATAGTCAAACTTAATGATTTCATTTTAAATTAACTGCTGACTGGCATAATTATATTATATTATATATACACAAGCAATATAATTCGTCAAAGTCAACAAGTATTTAATTTTGTAAGATGGGACGTTTGACATACTATTGAGATTTTGTAGCCATCGAAATTTCTTTTCTCCCACAACATTCTCGCCCCGTAAAAGCAATTCTTATAAGGGGGGCCATATTTCTCAAGAATATCTAGCCAGATAATGATAATAATTACCATGTATCGATTTTCAATCAATTCGTGTATTTTTATCGGATCATGTTTCTCAGATTTTTCTTGACCAAGATGATCGATAGTGTCGAATATTTCAAACGATCGAATCCGCAGAGAAAAGACATGAGATTTTTCTTCCTTTGGCGAAGACGACTCAAGCATATTAATCAATATATAGAGTCTATTTTATAGATCTTGTTAGAGAGTTCGCAATCATCCGGAGTAATATTTAATTCCAATTACGGTAATTTCGAATTTTTCAAATATTGTAATTGATAGGTCAAAAAATATTGTAACTGATCATATTAGCAGCCTTGTTTGCTATAAACATTATCTTACCAGTTAAATTAATCATCCACTAAATTTAAAATCGATGGCCTTGTACTCTCCAAAACGCATGTTATGTTATAGTGATGGCATTGTTTGATTCTATTTTCTATTTGTATATTCTTAAAAGAATTCTGTAAAATGGTTTTGTAGAAAACATTTAGGAAAAAAATAAAAAAATTCTGGCTGAATCATTATTCTGAAAAACATATCCAAAATGGTAAAATAAAGGGTAAAAATTATTAATATAATTATCAATAACGAAAACTTGATATTTTCTATCTTTCTCTAGTTTTGCAGAACAAAAAGTAATAAAACATAAAAAAATTCTGATTATTTAGATTTTCAAAATAACCATTGAGTTTTTTATTTTTCAGAATAAAAGCAGGTAATCAAACATGCTCCTAATTAATAATGGATATGAAAATCAAATTTCATTAAATGATTATTTAAAATATTAAGTAATTTAATAATTAAATTATTAAAAATAGTCCAGTGGTCAAATTAAAAAAGGTAAAATAGTTTTTACCAACAAAAAAGTAAAATAGTTTGTGCTTTTTATTCAAAGTGATTTATAAAAATAATTGTTAATTTCATCTAAAGTGTGACTTATATATAGCACTTGTGACAGTATAATTATACAAATACATTAAAATAAAATAAAAATCATATCCCATATATAACAAATAGAACCAGATGTTGTGAGGAATACATCAATTGTCTTTATTGTTATATCAAGCAAAAGTCCAGAATCTCTTGTTAGAGTTTAATTTCATCAGAGTTTGCTGTATCCTCATATTTTGAATAAAATCATAATTGTATATAAAATTAACTGTTGTAGAGGGAAGGTTTTTGTAATATATATAAACATATTAGAATATAAATTAAATATTAAATTAATAATTTCAATTATGATTCAGACATGCTCTCTGTATATACTTTGGTTTTATACATTATTCTTTCTCATATCTTGTCGATTTAATTTCTCCAAAGTAGCAGGTGTCTAGCCATAAAAAGTACTCCATCCATAAAAAATATAAGGTATTTTTTAATAAGTTAAATATTTAAAAATATAAGATATTTTTAATCTTTCAATGTGTAATCATTGCCTTTTTTTAAGTGGCCTTATTAATAAATGACTTTATATTGATTATACGATATTTAATAGAAATAAATATAAAAAAATAGAGTTAGTTTGAAAGTAAATAACTACTTTATTAAAGTTGAGATTCGGTTAAAAATGCTTTACATTTTTTAATGGAGGGAGTAATGTTTATGTCCAAAGATGAATTTTAAATAACTATTTTGCAAGAGATTTCAGTTTAGAATCTTGCTATCTCTAGGTCATTTATCTTTTGTCTCTTTGAGTAATACAGAAACGTGGAAAAATCCTACCATTAATACAAAATTGAATACGATGATGGAAAAAAGTGTGTAGAAAGAAAAAAAAATATTTCTTTCAATAAAATAATATCATATTACATTTTTTAACTTTATTAAGATAATGTGATACAAAATTCTGTTAAATTTTATCAAATTCTATAGACTTATTTTTCATTTTCAAAAACTCCAAAAACCTTTCTTTTATTTTCAGTCTAACCCGAATTCCTCATGAAAATAAAGCGTGAAATGCATATATCTATATCTATAATGTCTTTCTATTTTAAAATACACGCAAACTTCTCTTGAAAAAAATAAAGGAAGTCAATACAATTTTAATAAAATAGAAAAATTGTCTATAGAATTTTCTCCGCTGTCTGTAGAAGAACTTTGTGCAAGTTTTGAAAATAATATTAATGTCTGAAAAATTTTAATAATATTTCAAAAAAATAAATTTACCTTTTTAATTTTGGGGAAAAACTGTGTATATCTTGAAAATAACAAAACTTCTATAATCTCATAAAAATTATGTAATTTATTTTCAGAAATAGTATGTATTGTGGCTTACTCTTATACAATTTTTGGCTCTCGAAATCTAATCAGATTCTTACAAGTAAAAAGATTGGATGATTCTTATGTTTTTAAGAAGCCACTTCGAGTGTCTTTTTATTATCTTGAGAAGCACATTTAAATAAAAAACATTTGTATGATCACATCAAACACAAAATAAGTTCTTCTTTTAATAAAAATGTTTCAGCAAGAAATAATTTGTTAGAATAATTAATTGAAAACATTTTAGAATTTTTAACAAAATACCCTTTGCAAGATTTAAAATTGGATTAAAGTATTTAATTTAAAAACAAAGGGAATAACATCTCTGAAATTTCAAAGGTCAATGAAATTTAATCAAAATTAATATAGTTATCTATTTATCTTAGGTAAATGCAAGAAAGAGTGATCATTAAAATAGGGTTAAATGGAAAATTTATCTCTAAACTACAAGTCCAAAAGTATTTGGGGTTCTAAACTCATTTTTAATATAATAATTCCCTTCAGTTTTTTAAAAATAGTACAACATTACACCAACTACTAATAAATGTTAACTTTGATAGTTAATTGACCACAAAATTATAAAAAAAGATAAAAAAAATTTTGTTAGTTCTTTCCTATAATTTTTTGGGTTATTGTTTGTAATTTTGGATTTTTTTCTATAATTTTTCAAGCCATTTTCACTAATTTTTTATATTATTTTTTAGTCAATTAACAATTAAAAATAACTTTTGTTATAGGTCGGACAACATTGCATCATTTTTAAAAATTGAAAGAGAATATTGCAATAAAAATGAATTTATGATCCTAGATGTTCCTAGATTTATAATTTAAAAGTGAAATTTTCATTTAACCCATCTAATCCCTTCTTAATTCGATCCTTTCTTTCCCTAGATATTTTCTATGAGCCCATGGTTTTACAATTTTTTACAATAATTATCCATTAGGGACTTGGAGTACATATATTGTTTCATTAAGTTTATTAATTAATTGACTTGCAATGAATTGAAGTGACTTTGAGAAATGGTTTTGTCCAGCCAGCTTCCAGTCTAACGTGAAGCCGACCTTTTCTTTACACTTCATCACGTATACTTAGCCTTTGGTAAACGTGTTTGTGATTATTAAATATTCACTGAACTTGTGCGCCAAATCAATTTTATATCCTTCTCATCATCCTCGATAAAATATACAATAAACTAAACACTACAGTGCACTGCATTTTTGATAGAATTCCCAGAATTATCAGTTATGTTGATAGTAACTCGATTAATATTGGTACATATATATATAACTCAAAATAAATGAATTAAAAACAAACTTTTTTTGGTGAAATTAACTGGGCACAATGTTGCTCTCATGCATAGTTTTACACTTCTTTTGATATTTTTCTATTTTTGAATGCGTAAATGTGTATAATTATATATGACAAACATAGTATGGATGTTATTCATTCGTTTCTGTGTCCAGAGTGGAAATGTACTATAATTAGTAATCATGAAAGATGTAATTTTTTTTTTTGGTAGAACATGAAAGATGTAATTTATCTTCAAAAACATGTGCAATTTGTTTATTTTTCTTTTGTTTTGCAAATTAAATTAAATCTACTAATAAAGTCGCTAGTTAATTAACTTGCCGTGTGTTTTTATAATAAAATCGCACACACTTTATCCTTATCCTCTTCATCTTTTCTTATCAATATTTTTTTCATATATTTAATTGCTGTAGACAAGAGATTTAATTTAGTTTGTGTTAGATAATATAACCCATTCAAATTTTCATTACATTAAATGCACGCATTCTTGAGGAGCAAATTGCAAAGTCTTGCTCTACGAATATATGCATGATTAAGGTAAAGAGATTTCAGTCATTTAATTTTTTTTTTGCAGTCATTTTTTTTTTGAGAAAAATGACAAAATAACACTGTTCAGGATAAGTATTCTAAAGTCCTTAAAACTTATCTATCATAAAGTTTTGTCGTAACATTGTGTTTCTAATCCCTTTCAAATAATAGAAAGTGTAGCTGTTCAAACAAAAACTAAAATTGTTAATAATGAGAGAAATCTTTTAATATTTGAAAGTGTAGTTGTCATTGCATAACTAAAATAAAGTTATGATTAATCGTGTTGTTATTATTTAAACTAAAATAATTAATTAGTAAGATGAAGATGTTAACATAGAAAAAGTATTTGTCAACCATAGTTCCTATATTAACAATTTTACTTTCATTATTAATAACTTTAGTTTTTGTATCAACGCATATACTTTTTATTATTTTGCTTAAGGCTAGAAATGTAATTTCACAAAAAAAATGTTTGACAAGTTCCCAATGATTTCAAAGTAATTACCACATTTTGTGGTACTTATTTATCTTATTTATCAATTTTGATAGAATTTATTTATTTCCCTTTATTTCTTTCCTATCTGGATCCTAATCGAATATATTAATGCATTCGGTATCCAACTTGTAATTTATATGTATGAAAAACGATTTTACAGCAGAACATGTCTTGAACTTGGGAGCAAATGGAGCATTTTGACGAAGAAATGATTAGAGATGAAGATTTGAGGAGGTGATATTGTTAACTATTTAATCACAATTTGAGTTATCCCTTCTGGTGCATGCTTGGCTTGAAATCTCTTAAGCAATATACCACTGACCGACATTTTGAGATTTATTATTAGTTTATTACATAATTAAGTTGCACTCGTTGCAAGAAAGACTTTGAAGCAGTACGCCTGTACGTACTTTGCTACAAGTGAGTATGCTCAACATATTTTCTGGGATTTAACGTATCAATAATCTTCAAACTCGGACTATCACTATTGAAAATTGCGCCTTTGAGGCTTTGACCAACTATTATATATATATATATATATTAATCAGCCTCTAATCATTTCTTGAAACCGAAACCTTAATTTACGATCATATATTTTATTTTTATAAAGTCAATCATCTCAGTTTGTGGGAATAATGAATTTATGTCAACGAGATCCCTGAGATTGGTTAATGACGATATTAATTATTAATTACGAGCCTTTAACTTGATTATTAGGTATTTAATTCTGACAGACATGAGGAGCTTAAAATTGACAAAGTTTAAAAGAGAGGAGATGTGCAATGAATATATGTATATACAAAAGGTCAACTTATGAATTATGTGCAGCTAATAACCAAACAAATCCATTTAGAATTATGGTTTATGACTTATTCATTCAGTCCAAATAATCATGTTTCATGCTCATAAAAGAACCTAAAAAATTGAAGTTATTTCAGGTCAAAATGTGTGATACAGGCGTTCTAACTCCCAACAAAGACACTAATGCATCACAACTACAGAGAAGTTGCTTGCAGATTGAAAAATATGAGTGATCATATTATCAAATGAAACATATATCATAAGACTTGATTAGTTAATGGCTAAAGTATATTTTTTTTGTTCTTTAATTTTATATAAGGTTTCAATTTGGTTATTTAGTTTTGTAAAATATTTTTTTAATCTTTTAACCCTAACATCACTAGTTTCAAATGATTATTTTTTGTATCAATCATTATTATTTTTAAAAAAATTAAACTTAATATATCAACATTTGATAATATTTTGTTAATATTTGAAAGTTTAATATAAAAAATTATTAGGATAAAATTAATAATGTTAGAATTAAATGACTAAACAAATACTTTATACAGTTAAGGCACTAAAATGAAACCTTATGCAAAGTTAAAGGATTAAATATATACTTTAATTTTAGTTAATTATGATGAAATAAATACAACTAATATTCAGTTAATTATGATGAAATGAATACAACTAATATTCTTCGTTTTATGAGTTATATAGATAACCGCCGTGAGGTTTATACAAATAATTTCGCGAGATTAAACAATATTTTATCGATACGTATGAGTATATAATATAAAAACTCCTATAAATTAAGCCATATTTTCAAAGAAATAGCTGGATCTGTATATAACAGATAAAAAAATAGATAGTAAATCTCTCATGCATTATAGAAATTTAATAAATGAATATACTATTAATTTTATTTTGGACTTTAAATAAAAAAAGTTTGTCCATGCGATATGAACAAAAGGCACATTATTTGAAGAGAAATTCTTAAGTCAACCAAATGCACCATATCATTTGTGATCTACCAATAAAACCATAACATTCATATGATATTAAGTATAAATTGATTTTGACATTAATGATAGTAGAGAGAGAATGTAAGAAATTAAATATGAATTTTGTTATAAGAATAAAATTAATTTAAATAATATCACATAAAATTTTAGACTAAAGTATACTTTTAATCCTTTAACTTTATTTAATGCTTTAATTTAATCCTTTAATTTTGTAATGTATCTTTTAGTCCTTTAACCCTAACATCTTTAACTTCAAATGATTATTTTTTGTATTAATTATTGTTATTTTAAAAAAATTAAAATTAATATGTCAACATTTAAATATGTTTTGTTAATAAAAATTTGTTGGGATAAAACTAATAGTATTAGGATTAAAGTACTAAAAAGATATTTTATAAAGTTAAAAAATTAAATGTATACTTTAGCCAATATTTTATTCAAATGACTTCAAAGAATTCTAATTAGACAAATCACAAATGATATAATGCACCCGATCTATTAAAGAATTTCTCACTGTTTAAATCTTATAATAGACAAATGAGACTGCTAGTTATACAGTGCATGAGTTTTTTAATTTCTACAGGCATCTTCTTGTTAGAGGCAATCATGTCATGCACTAAATATAGATAACTAATATAATTTTATCAGAGATTAGCATATTCCACTGGATTTAATTATTTTTTTTTTTTTTTGTATAATCATTCAGTATCCAAGGCTGACAGCCTCAACGTTCAAATCCAAGCGTTGTGGGCTTAGAGGTTGGTTCTCCCAAGCATATTTGCACTAGATCTCATTATTGTTGGTTATTTATAATTCACACACGCATGTTAACGCAAAGTTCTAAGTTTATTTTGGGGCCACTTCAAAACATGGACGAAGCCGTGGCCCAGGTTCCTGCTCTGGCCCCAACCTTTCCCATTTTCTATTCTTCTTTTGTTGCCCTTGACCACAATTTTTTTCCCCCTGAAACCATACTCCCTTCTGGACACAACACCTTGATTAAATAAACTACACTGACTGATTTGTTATATTTCGATTAGGCTCAAGCCCGTGCTCTTATCAGACACAAACTGTTTGAGTGATTGGAATTTTTTTTATTTGTTATATATTTTTAATTTAATAAACTACACTGACTGATTTATTATAAATCATTAATCACAATATAAGAATTGAATCGATAGTTAAAATTAAAATATATTAGGAACGGTCTATTTGATTTCCATTTTTTAATTATTTTCATTTAAAGAATAATTTTTTTGTTTCACTAAGTATTTTGTATTTAAATAATTTTAAAAATTACTTCCAATTTTTAGTTTCCAAAAAAACGGAAACATTTTAGAGTTGTCCATTTTTTTAACAAAAAGACTATATTTGCTACTTAGCTGGCCGTCGATCACTATCATCATGGCCAATTTTTACAATTTTAATTCTAAAATTATTTTAAATTGAACAATATAAGACAAAAATTTCTTTTATTTTATTTTTAAAATAATTTTTTGAATGTAAATAATTTTTAAAATGTAGCTTACAAAATAGGTTTTAAAAATAAAAAACTGAAGGGACTCAAATAAACCAAAAATTATATTTTCACAATTGCGCGTGATATTTGCTGTGTGTGTGCACACATGTGTGCAGTGGTGTGTCATGCGTGTGCGTGCATTGTTCTGCATTGACATTTTTTGGTAGTTGTCAATGGCTTAATTTCTCCGTTATGGGCTGGGCTGTTGCCTGTTGGGGCCGGGGAGGAAGCAATGAAACGACGTCGCTATTACGGAATTGGGCATCGCGCTCCCAGCGAGCCAGGTGTCTGAGATGCCGACTGGCGACCGGCGAACGATTCTGAAAAGAAGGGAACACGTTCGAAGATCTTTTTTTTATTTTTTATTTTTTCCCCGAAGGGGCTGCGTTTTCTAAACGCACCGTTTCCGTCTCCGTTTTTCTCAACCGCTCTGTGAGACGCAGAGAGAAAGAGAGCAGTTCTTTGTGGTGCGATGGCGGAGAAACCTCAACCGGTTCGGGTGCTATACTGCCCTGTCTGCAGTTTGCCCGCTGAGTACTGCGAATTCGGACCCGATTTCGAGAAATGCAAGCCCTGGTTGATCCAGAACGCCCCTCAATTATACCCCGATCTCCTTAAAGGTCTCTTTCATTCTTCGATGCTGGTTTCTTCTCGCTGTTGCACTGCTTAAAATGTATTTTAATCCCTTGAATATCATCATATGAAATTGGATTATCTTGTGCGCAGAGGCGAGCAATAAGGAAGCTGATAAAGTGGCCGACCAATTGCAAAATAGCGGAATATCGTCAGGGGCTAGTGATGGAGCTGCTACCTCAGGTCGGCTTTCTCTGTGTTTTTCCTTGCTTTATCGTTTTTTTCCTCCCTCTTCAATTTGGTCACTCAAACTAGTAGTTAATTGAAGCTATACTAACTCTAAATCTTTTTTTCTCCAGAACTTTCATGAACCCCTTTTTGTTAATTATTACCCCCTTTAAGGGTCAGTCATATGAGCCGCTAATGTAATGTATACTTGGTCTTTCGTACTTTGAGATGCACGTTTCTTTGTTGGTGATTCTCTCAAAAATAAGCAAATTCAAGTACTTTGCCTTTTGCGGCATTCGTTGTTAATTTCATTTTATATTTAACCTAGAACAAGATTATAGCCTTTATCGCTTGTAATGAAGCTTAATTACATTTCTGAGTGCATTTTTGTTCGTCTAGTTAAATTTTCGCCATTAATATTTCTTTTATCTCGTAAGCTGTAATGTTTCCATTAGTTTGGCTCAGGCTGCTCCCTGCGCATTATTGTCATTACCATTGAGTTACCTTGTTGGCTGGAATGCATTATGATATTTTACTTTTACAAGGGACAGCATGGATGCTGTTGCATCTGAACATTCCAATTGAGTTAATGTCATGTTCCCCAACTATGAAAAGTGCCTCAGTGCAGATCATTTCTCTTTGGAGAAGTAGCTTAATTTTCACTGATTCACAATACAAGTGGTCATTTTATATATGTTATGTTCCATCGACCAAGTAAAGTTTGAAATTTCTCAAATCACTAAGAAAGAACGAAAAAGATACCTCAGCTTCAATGTTCATGATGCTATGTAACGTGAGAAACTAAACAAAGTTGCAATGAAGGAATTGGCAGCTCAGAAGCCAAGGAAAAAAAATAGTGAATGAACTTCGCAACTAATAGTCTATGATATTATTTCTGTGCTTTGTTTTTAACTTTGATAGGGTACTACTTGATTGGACAATGCTTACTTTCCTCTGGAGAACTACATGTCTTTAAAATATTATACTTCTCAATTGATGCTGACTAGGGTTGAATATTTTCTAGGTAATTGAGAAAATATTTATTTTTGTGTGCATTTGAGTAACTTGAGTTATTCCCGTTCTAATGTTGAATGAAATAATGTAATTGCACAAAAGATTGAACTCTTAATTTTCTTATTGTAAATTAATTTTTCCTTTATGAGAACATTGAAGATTCTGTACAGCTGATGTAACCTGTCAGTGTTTTCCCCATAATTCCATGAATTTGGATGTTTAATTAGACATCCATCATGCTTATTTAGTTGAGCCAAATATTTCTTGGCAATTTAATTCTGTAATAATGTGAAGTGTTGCTTTCCTACTGCTTGCATGTTGGTTATGATGATAATGTTTCAAATAGTCGCTCACAGCATCTTTTCAATGTTTCAGCACCTAAGCAAGAAGAAGTCAAGCGTCTTCCTGGTGGTAAGATAAAGAAAAAGGTACTCCACGGCATTCCTTCACTCTATCTAATAGGACTTAACTGGCTTTTGGCACCAAGTAATGATTCCAATCATTTCATGAGAGTGGCACTTTTTTTTCCCCAGGAGAAGCAGGAGGTTGTCATTGAGAAGTCATTCGCAATAAACGAAAATGTATTACCACAGTGAAAGGCCTTGACCTTTTTGGTGAGCTATAGATAGCCCTTTTGTTTTATTGCCATAGGCTCTTGTTTTGCTGATTACATTCTTATTAGTACCTCTGTCTGTTTATCACATTTCAGGTGTCAAGCTCAGTGAAGCTTCAAAGAAACTTGGGAAAAAGTTTGCGACAGGAGCATCTGTTGTCAAGGTTCGTTAGCTTTTAGTTGGTGTCTATTTAATTACTTGTTTAGTATCTGTGTATGATATCTTACAATATTTTGCATGGATTGTTTTCAGGGACCAACGGAGAAAGAGCAAATTGATGTCCAAGGAGATATATCCTACGACATAGTGGAGTTCATTACAGAAACATGGACTGATGTAAGACACTTTGACTCTTAGTTTTCTAATGATATTATATTTTGATTTAGCACGCAATTCCTGCAATCAATGAAAGAGAAGTAAAAGGAAGAAAAAAAGTGTTCTCATGTCTCAGTATGATAATCTGTGTTATTAAATTCACATATTTATTTGTATAAGAGACACGAGTGACTGTTTTGATTCGAGCACAAAAGTTACAGCAAGGACAGTGCATTCTTGAATGTGGTAATCTGTGGACATTTACATTGAATTGTGCATTTTTTGGAACATTTCAGTTACCGATGATTCTGTTTTGTATGTGGTGACTAAGTCTATCCTCTGTCAGCTAGGCAAGTAGAAGCTATGATTGGAAGCTAGTAGTATTGACTTGTTTCTATTGGATTAAACTAATATAACTCGGTATTGTCAGTTGCTCAAGACATTTTTTTGCTGGATAATCAATTCTGTTTTTTCTCTTAGTAGCTTGGGCTCCTTCATGTTTTTAATCATGTATGATCTTATGAATAACGTAGAAGAATGTGCTTGTTTAGAGGAAAGCCTTTTTTTTTTTTTTGCCTTTGTTTTATTTATAAATGGCCTTTGTATTTTTTTTTTTTTTTTTTGGCCAATTGTAATCTTAGCGATGATGCTTTCATGTTTGATATATATTTCATTGGCTAAGGTGGCATGCTTCTTGTTATTGCCTATTGGATGAGATGCTGATAATGAAAATTATTTTTCCCCGCTTAATTGTTGACTCTGAAACCCCTTTTCTGAGATTCTTAAGTGTCTAAGTTCACTCTAGCACAAGTTCCTGGTACTGGTAGAGTTTCAAAGATACAAGCCCCGGAAAGGGGAAACACAACAAGGGACGGAACCAATTTCTAGGAGAGATCTCTTGTTTCGCATAAAAAAACACAGTACAATCGGCATAGACAAGATACTAGTTGAACCACTATATTTTCAAGTGAGGAGTTTTTTTCTCATGGGTTGAACCAAATCTTTGTTCTCTTTTTTTTTTTTTTTTTTTTTGCTATGCATGCGACTCATTTGTATAAGTTCATTAATTCCTTTCTCTCGGAAATCAAAACATGGTTGTGATAGAAAGGCTGTCTCCGCTGCAGGTCCCAGAAACTGCAATTTTCTTCATAGAAGATGGAAAGAAAGTTCCGGCTGCTTGACTCTGAAATGCAGGCATGAAGAGAGTTTTATTAGACTGACTGCTAAACTCAGCCATATTACTGTACTTTTGAAGTAAAGGGCTGATAAACTTGTACATCTTGGGCCAGTCAGATCCGATCCTTTGCCCCCAGTCACGGTCCCTGATTGACTTTAGCAAAATTATTTAGGTTTGGAGTGTTGAATTTGAAGTTCAGTCCACTAAACTCTTTTATGGGTAGTAGCATTGTGATTAGTCATTGGCACCGAAGGAACATGGCTCGGACCTTATTACACATTGTATGCATGGTCAGTGGTTTAACTACCTTCATAGGATGATGTTAAATGGTGATGAAGTATAGAGTTGTTGAATTGAGTCTGGGTTTATGGACCGTTATATTCAACCTTAAAACAATTATACTTTTTCATGCTGTGGATTGAGAAAAAGAATATCCCTGGCCGCCTGGCCGTATTGCTCATGGACTTTGATTTTTATTCTGAACATATACGTACACACCAAAAAAATCATCTTTGTATGCATACAATTTGGTTGATGTCCACGGGTAATTATTGTAATATGTTCATGACTTTTCACCATAATAATCATCGAGCTTTCAATTAAACTTTTATGCATTCAAATCATAGACTTACACTTCCAATGAACCTCCAAAATGATATAATTGTGTCCGTGAAAAATCAAAGGAACATAATTTATAATCTCATTGTACAATCATGTTCTAGATTATTATACCTAATTAACTAAACTCGAGACAAAAAATAAAAAAATATGCTACTAGAAATTTTTATGATTAGTGTTCCAAACCAAGAATAAACCGGCGGGGTAATACTGGGGGCAAAAACTGCTGCTTCGCGCGAAAAATGTGAAAAATTGAAGAAAACTACTGCTTTTCGTACTTGGTTATTATCTTTGTACTCTTTTGTTTCCTAGTTAAGAAAAATCGTTGTCTTTTGCCTCTGGAAATTGGATTCGGAATTCAGGAAATAAGTAATGCAGTTACTCTTGATTTAAACTATAAAGTATTTAATTAAAAAATCTATAAAATATAGTTTATATATTTTTTATTATTTTTATTTTTAAAAAACATAGAGTAATATTTATTTTTCACCAATTTATTTAAAAGTTAAGTAAAAGAAATGTTAATAAAAATAAATTTGATATTTTTTAAATTTAATTTAAAATATTTCAAAAAATATATATAAGCGTCAAATATAAATGTCACTTTCTATTTAGTACTATATACTTTATTATCCTATCATTCTTACAAGATTTCAAAGAATTAATTGGCCTTGGGGAAAAAATCTAGCTTTTCTTCAATCTGCATGTCTCTCCCAAAACAGAAAAAAGAAAGAAAATGGAGCTAATCTGAATTGAACTGAAAAGCAGAGCTTCCCTGTCGTCCCAAACAGTCAAGCTCATGCATGTTAATTTTCTTACTGTATCACTGCTGCATAATTGAGTTTTAGGAGGCCACGTAGAGGAATGCTTATGAACAAAGACACTCCAATTGTTTTTTCATAATTACAACAATTAATTTGATAAATAAATTAATCATTTATAGCTTATAAATAGTATAATTTCTGATATATTTATATTTAACATTGATATTATAACAATGTGTTTGTAATTTTTGCTCCAAGACTAATTATTTGGGCTAAAATTCAATTTTTGGCCCAGACCGCGTTTAAAATTTTTAAAAGAGTAGGGGTTAATAAGAGGATTTGATCACCAGCGCACCACTTCAGCCGCACAAAAAAAAAAAAAAAGGAGAAAGTGAAGGAGTATGGGGGGAAAAAATTACAGCTAGTGCCCCAAAAAATTGGAATATGAAGCCATCAGAAGACTCTCATTTTTTGCCAATAAAAAGAGAAGCAAGCCACACGTGTTGGACGCCTTTTCGGACTTCAATCAACTCAATAATACTCTAATTAATTCAACATTTGATTTAATCAAACCAGACACTTCATCCTTTATCAAATTAGATGTAATTTCCCTTAGAGCAACACATTTCCAATAGAGAGCTGCAAGTTTCCAGCAACCAATAGAGCCATGGCTTCCAATAGATCGGTGCCACTACCACCTCAGTGTTCTTCTTTTAGTTTTGTGTTTTATAGTTTTTATAATTTGTTTTATATCAATATCAACATCAACATCATCTTTGCTCTCACAATGCAAGTATCTCATTTTTCTCAATTTTCATTTCCTTTTTTTTTATTTTTAAGATCTTATATCGGGGGGAATTGTGACAATTAAGGGATCTTAAAAACTCATCATTTGATTTGAAAATCAGGTATATCATATCAATTGAGAACATCATCCTTTGGCACGCCCCAAAAAAGCAAAACCCAGCAAATGATGAATATTGATACACAAATTCAAAAGGTGTTGATAATGTACGACAATAGTTCAGACTTCCAAGCATGATAAGAAAAAGTGGTTTGAATTAATGTGTGGTTCTTATTTCTTGTTTTTCATTGCATTTTAATCTCTGAAATATTGGTTCAATTCCCAATCTGGTGAGAAGCATGCATGCCAAGAAAATTATGTTAATTAGCATCTAAATGCATCCTTCAAATATTTTCAGTTACATAAAATCTCACTCAAGTCCAGAATGCAAATAGTGAAGCCAGCTTCTTAATTAGATTTTTACTTCATACAAAGTTTGGAAATCAAACTTTCAATCTATCTAAAGGAGACGGTAGTTTTTGGATTTGGGTTTTATTTGAGGGAATTAAATGAAATTGTTCTTGCCATTAGCTGAAGTGAATGTTGAGATTTGGACATTAGAAGTAACTTCAAAGAGGGCATCAGAGACCATAAATCCACAATTTTCATTACTCGTGTTAACTTAAATTTATTCAATTAAGTTATTATTAATGATGACGTACCAAATTTAGCAGCAAACATTTTTGGATGGTTAATGGGTAAATTTACTTGGATTCGCATCCGTATATCATTCTCTGAAGATCCAATCTTCGATATCAAATTAAAAGACCAATGCGCTAACCCGAAGACTGAAAGAATAATGCTACCATTGGCGTAAGTTCCAAATCATCACTTTCTATTCAGGAAGTGACTCTGAACTTTGAGATCAGAGGAACAAACGAACATGCGCCAATTCTGTCTTCTTTCCTATGAAATCTTCTATAAATAACAATCCAATTAAACAAACAAAATAGCTGAATAATTATCTACTCATTACAATTTAGATCTTTCTTGCTTATAAAATGATTTTAAATAACTAAAGATCAAATTTTTAACATTATAGATCAAAGGTTTAGGTTATTTAAATTCTTTATCACATTTTTTAAATAATTACATTACATTTATATAAAAATTACAAATCATCATAAATTAATATCCTTTTTGATAATTATATATTCAAAATTACATTTACTATCATAAACCAAATAACTTTTAATATATCAAACTTACTTTCAAAAAATTATATTCAAATACAAAATTTATATATAACAACTAACTTTTATGAAACTTATTTTTATCAAATAAATTTTTACTAAATAAACTTTTAATAAATGAAAAAACTAAACACTGCTAAATTATTTAAATATCTGCAATATATAATTGCGAGTAATCGTCCTCACTAATGCAAGCAACTTTACAATATGCCTTAGCTTTCACTCATTATGTATATAGAATGAAACAGACCCACAACATATAACACAACTACGTGACGAGAAGGAGCATCCAAAGTTTAAAAACTACTAATGACTAATAATTAGAGGGCCTTTTAGTAATTTCAGTCCCCAGCTTTCCTTGCCCGTTTGACCCTATCCTTACGGTGGGACTCCACGCACAGAAGCATTGTAACGCAGGAAAGAATTCAGTCTCTGCAGCTTCAGTTGCTGCTTGAATTTGTTGATGAAATCGTCAGCCTTGGCATCCACCATCTCGTCCTCCAGACACGACGCCGCTTCATTACCTTCCACATGTCTCGCCGCGGTCTCCTCCTCCTCCTCCTCCTCCTCCTCCCGCTTCCTCGACGCTGACTTCTCGCTCGCCGATTTCTTCATCTTCTCCGGTAACTTCACCGGCGTCCTCTTACTCGTTTCCGATTTGCTCCTTCTCGCTAAATTACTCGAACCATGATCCTCTCTCGACTCCCGAACGTCACCTTCACCTTCAACTGCTTCTCCGGCCGCTTCGATTGAGTCCGATCTGTATAGAGACGAAAAGTTTATAGACTTGAGACGCTCCAGGAGCGAGGGAGTTCTCGCCAGTTGCGGTTCGGTCGGGTGTTCGTCTTCCGTCGGGTCATCGGGCGGAGCGGACACTGTTTCTGCACCGGTGGGTTCGCAGTTGTTATTAAACGGAAATTAAACGACCTGACTCGCTCGATCAGTGACGGTGTTCGAACGAGCTGCGGAGAGTCGTGAGGGGGCTGAAGATACTCGGTTGTTTCTGCACTGGTGGTTCGCAGCTGTTATTAAACCGGAAATCAAACGACCTGACTCGCTCGATCGGTGACGGCGTTCGAACGAGCTGCAGAGAGTCGTGAGGGGGCTGAAGATACTCGGTTTCTGGAAACGCCGTGTCGTGTTTGTAGAAATGGAGGGACTTAAGACGTTCGAGCAGGGACGATGAACGGACGAGATGTGGGTGGCCATCGTGGTGGTCGTAGGGTTTTCTGGGGGTATTGAAACGGGAACTGAGGACAATGGTGCCGATGACGAGGTTGAGAAAGAGGAAAAGAGAAGAAGGCGTGAACCAGCTGGCCATGAAAGCAGAGACTGTAACTGGGTCGGCCATGGACGGATCTCTGATGTGCTCGCTGACACGATTGCGCAGAAATTAAAGAGGATGAGAGAGGGTTTACACAATGGTTGTGGTTATATATTTGAGTTATTTTGTGTGTGAAGGGTGAACGAAAGCTTCAAATGCTTTTCTTTATGTTTATAGTTTAATATTGTAACAACGTTGACGTTTACTTGATTGAAACTGGCCTTTTGTTTAAAGCTTTAAGTTACTCTCCTTTAAACACGTGGCGTATTCAATATTATAATCTCAAAATAAATATAGCAAACAGAGAGAGATATACACACAACCAAATCAAATCAAATTTATGACAAGGGTGCCGGCGCCAACACAAGTGGGAGTGAAATCATTTTTTCGCGGATTTTTTCGCGGCTGTTTATCCTATTTTGGTCCATTTTAGGGTCAACATTTCCATTCTTCGTGTTTTTTTCTTGTTATCAAATGATGCTTCCCCATGTCTTTCCTTTGTTAAAATCAATTTTTATTGTTTAAACCTTAAAGTTTTATGTGAGTTGGCTTTTTTGAAATTCATTTAGGGTCAAGCATGCCTTCGAATTCAAAGGTATATTTATTTTACAAAATCCTCTTTAATAAGATTATATTTTTAGATTAATAACGAGATATAAACCCACAACATTATAAATTATGAATTAAATTTTTAATTAACTAATAAATTTTTTATTATTTTTATTAAAATCATGAAAATAAACTTAATACCGTAAAATCAAAGTATAATATAAAAATGTAAACAAATGTTTATCACATGGATTAGGTGTGGTGAAAGGGACAAGTCTATGATGAATCAAAATTCAAATCTCACCTAAAAATGCAAAATTTAGTGATAAACCATGTTTATAATAGAAGTATATCTATGAGTGATAAAAAAAATTTGTACAAACTCTCACACTAGGGTTACAAATTATTTTTCAAGCTCTATATAATGCATAGAATGTAAATTCAAGTGTATAATTGATAAAAAAAATGTCACTTTCAGTTTCAAAATAATAAAAATATAAAACCGATGGTGACTTCGCTTAATTCAATGATAATGCTGTGACCGACCTAGTCTTTAAAAGTTATATGAGAAAGTCTTGCGTTAGAATTAAAAATATTTTTTTAGATGTTATAATTAGAATACAAATAGAAATTACTACTGTTTAACTGACTTAAAGGGTCTTTCAGAATTTAAAAATCAAAATAACAACTTGACAAGTTATTTAAGAATCTGAGTGAATTCTCGACATAGACTTGTCAAAATTAATATTTGTGGAATTTCAACTAATTCAGCGCGCCGGCAGTAACTAACAGTGAGCCGCTTGCCTGCGTTTTACTTTTTGATGGAGAATTGTTAAATTTTGTAAAATTAATTAATGTTGAGAGAGTTGAAGTTATAGGATATTTTAAGGAATGGGATTACCATGTCTTATGAAAAATTATACTGCATTATGAAAGCTGTCACTAGAATTATTTGTAATTATTAATTTTGCAAAAATTCAATAATATTTTTTAAAATTTGATAATAAGCATCAAAACAGTTAATATTTGATCATCAAGACATATTATAGTTGTGATATATTTTTATTTGAATTTTATAATTATAATGCTTACGTATCCCATTCTACGAGAATGACATTGATGTGTCGAGTTACAAGAGAAGGGAAATGAGCTGGGAACAAAAAAGCATTTGTGTCGCAGTGCTGTATGGATGCTAAATTGAGTATGCCACTTTTGCTTTTCCCTACCATCAATATAAATTACAAATTTATAAAAAATTTCTTCATGAAGAGAAAATAAATTTTTCGGCTAAAGTATAAATAATATAATTTATTTTTTACACAGGTAACAGGTCCCATGTTTACTGTTTCTTTTTCTTTTTTTTTGGTTAGAAATTAAGTAAATGTATATGAATTAAATTTTCGAAGAAGTGAGAAAACCAAGATCAAATGGAGGTGAATTGAAGAAAGTGATTTTAAAACCTAAAAATTTTAATTTAAAACGTGGGTCAAGCTTTTTTTTTTATGTTCTTTTTAAAAATTAATAAAATCTTCCTTTCACTGAAACTTTCATTCCGGGTTCTATTAATTTAATTCCTTAATTTTAATTTCTGTCATTTTAATTTTTAATATTTTATGAATTATCTAAATTGGGTCGTAATCTTATAAGAAAAAATTAACACATAATACTATGCTAACATGGCTAACGAAAAAATGATATGGTAGCCATGTAGATCAACAACAATATCGAAAGCATGTGACTGTCTACAATAATAAAAAATCATTTTTATGATAATAAAAAATTAGGAAATAATTTTTTAAATAGACGCTACATCTTCTCCATCTCTTTCAATCTTCTTTGATTCTATACGAGCAAAAAAAGAGGTTAGATGTTAGGCCCCATATCGGAGGGACTTGAGGAGGGTTCAGATTATATAAACAGGTGTTATACGCCCTAATGGGTTAGCTTCTGTGGAGAGAGTAATGGCCCCATGACAAAATGGTATTAAGCCAGACCTGAGTTTGTTCAGTTGTGGGTCTCTTTAATGGGCCACCCATGACAGGGGCATCATGAATTGATCGAGGGAGTTATCAAGTCTGCACATGGGAGGGATTTGGTAAGAGCCCGATTATATATGCAGGTGCATGTACGTCTTAATAGGTTAGCATTTTGAAGAGAGAATAATGGCTTTGTGATACAGAGTCCAATTCTTGTCGTATAATAGAGGTTAATTTTTGGTCTACTAAAAAAATAGCCTCCTTTCTATTATAAGATTGACAAATCCCCACAAAAAGAGGCTTCCAAATGAAAATGGTTAGATTTTTTTTTTTTTTAACAAAGAGACACTCAAATCTAGATGGGGGTTCTCAATTTTTTTTTCGAAATATTTTCTATTTGTCTTTTCGATAACTTTTTGTAGCATACTGTCCTGACTCACGAGCACACGACGTTTGACACATCTGACTTTGGTGATAAATCTTTCAATAAAAATTTTTTACATATACATAACTCAAATTCAAAATCTTATTTAAATAAAACCAAGTCATTTATTATTGGGATCAACTACCATTGGTTTCCCCAAATACTCTATAGAATGAACAGGTGAGAAAATGTGGGCGAAACCCAAAGGCCAAAACTGTCCATGTATTTTGGCTTCAGATCGCAAGTCTTCCCCCTCTGTTGCGTCGTCCACGAGTGGTCCCTCGCGTCTGAAGTGAATAGTTTATTTACTTTAAGTTAAAATATAATAATAAATCTTCACCAACACGGCCAGCTAGATTATTTTTATAGGACCATGTGACGCAAACAAAATGACGTAGTGCAATCGTTTAATATCAATTAAATAAATCATTGAATCCTTTTTTTTTTTTTTTTAACTTGAAGCCCGAAACTCAGCCACACTTTTGTGGTCCGCTACGCTATGAGTTTCGGCGAAGTTATGGCGGGGCAGATCAAGCAGCTCAAAACTAACCATACTGAAAAGAATGGTCTAGGCTTTTCTGGAAGCCTCCTCGAGAGGCAGAGATTTAGTCTGAACTATTAAAATTATTTTTTTTTTTTTTATTTATATTTTTAAATAAAAAATATATATAGAATTGTTAAAAAAATTTAATAAATATACTTATTAATCTGATAATTTAAATTAATATAAATGATTTAAAATTAATATTAAAAATTTTTTAATAAATTTACTGTTTTGTTTCAAAATATATTTACATTATTCAAAATATACTTAAAAAAGTAAATTTAAATTATCTATATTAAATTTAGAATGTCAGATTGATAAGTATATTTATTAAAAAAATTTATAATTTTTATATCTTTTCATTTTAAAATATAATAAAAAATAAAAACTATTAAATATGGACGTTCAAATTAAATGTGAACGGTCAAAATTTTTTTCCGCCGGAGGCTTCTCTCCCGAAGCCGATTCCAAAAAGATTAGCATATCTTCTGCACAGGGATGACTACCCACGGATCTTGAAATTGTTTGAATTAACTTTTACGATTTAAATTTAAAATTTTTAATTTTTAGTTCTTTATATAAAAATTATTTTTTCATGGAATAACAATAACGAATTATGTTTATTTTAAATTATTTCTCCTCTATTTAAAATATAAGACATTTTTTAAAATTGAATGTTCAAAAATATAAAATATTTTTAATCTTTTAAAGTATAATCATTGCCTTTTTTTAAGTGTTCCTATTGATAGGGACTTTATATTTATTGTAGAATATTTAATAGGAGTAAATGTGAAAATATAGGATTAGTTTAAAAGTAGGTAACTACTTTATTAGAAGATAAAATTTTATTAAAAATATCTTATATTTTTTAAATGGAAGGAGTGTCAATTAAAATACTAATTCATTAAAAATTAAAAATAAAATTATATTAAATATAGACAATCTAAATTGATACTCATCGGCAAGACTAACTCTTGGCTCTCGCAATAACTCATATATATTAAAAATTAAAAATAAAAATTGTAATAATTAATTAATTAATTGATATTCCATTAACTTACAAGGCAATTTTTTGTTAAATTTACACATGTAGTGAAGTGCATTAAATATAATTTAAAATTTTATTTTTTTATAAATTTTAAAAATACCTTTTATTAATAATAGAGAGAGGTAATATTTTTAATAATTTTTTAAAATATAAAATAGTTTGAGACACTTAAAAATACTCACCTATTAAAAAATTAAGATATTTTGTAAGGGATTGAATGTTTAAAAAATAAGGCATTTTAAGTTTTTTTATATGTAATCATTATCTTTTTTTAAGTGATCCTATTAAATAAGTTACTCTATAATTTTCAGGGTGAAACATTTTATTAAATAAAATAAATTCAAAAAATAATTAATTTAAAAATAAATAATTATTTTATTAAGTGTAAAATTTAATTAAAACATTTTATATTTTTTAACCAACGAGTAAGTGTCGTAAGATAAGAGGGAGGAGAAAATTGAGCATTTAGTGGGAGGTGAGATTTTAGGGAATGCAAACCAACCATGTGTGGACAAGATGGCATGAGAATTTGTCGTGTTTCGCGCTACTTAATTTTGTGCGTTTGGAGTTTGGGTGGAAATAGGGTATGGGGAACCTACGCCCCAACCTATA